ATAATTGTTTTGTCAGCAAATCGAGGGTTTCTACATGTAGATTAGTAGATATGACTAAAAGTGCAGCGTTATCGCTACATGGGTGTAGACACAGGTCATTAGCTAGTCCCTTGATAATCATACGAAATATCTCATTACTTCTCCTATCACGACTCACTATTGTATTAGACAGAACGGTGATAATTCGTCCAGTTTCGAGGCAAAGAATATTCTTGCCTTCGAGCGGGATTTCGACGCACTAATGACTATCTAGGTAGCTAAGTTAGGTTTTAACTTGGCCAGTTGGTAACATAGCACCAGCCGTTCTGTGTAATGACAACAAGATAAACGCTTACTTTAGCAAATACTATATACTGTACTGTCTATATACTATATGACAATTAAAACAACATTGCTAGATGGTTGCACTTGTTTTATTAGCGCTCAACTGCCGGGCAAACTGAAAACTTGAAGAATCTATATTTTCGGAAAAATAAACCGGTAGCTCTTCTTCCGTATGGCATTCTTGTACTTAAAGTTGCATATTTTCCCTTCCAAGCGACTTAACGCTCCGTCCAGCGTTTTGTTATATATAAATCCTATATGATTTAAATACCCAGGAGCTGGCGTGTGCTGCAACTCAGGAGAGGTAGTCGTTCTCTTATTCCATACTTTGGCAGCCTCAGTCCCTCAACCATAATCTTAATTCTCTTTCGATTAGGCAAATACTGAAATCCAGATCATTGGAATAAATTAGTGCGCTACAACGTACTATATTGTTTTACGAACAAAAATGCTTTCGTTCTACGAACAATAATGCATTACAGGTACATATGCACGCGGGTTCACCCTTGGAAACAGATAATCATAGTCAAATCTTTTTCATTTATATACGGACAGACAATATTTTATGTCAAGCAAAATTTAAATCACCACATTTTCTGCAAATGGAATAATATTCTCCACTAAAAATATGAGACCATTAAATTCTTGTATTTCTTTCTTTTCTTGCCAAAAATCAGATACGGGTATATGTAATCATGATCATTGCCATCCTCACTCGACATGTGCACTAACATCTCTACCTGGAAGCTATGTTTGTATATGCAATACTGGTTTCACTGGAAATGGTACAGAATGTGAAGGTTAGTATGACTAAAAACATTTCACTTTTCTGTTAGGCTACGTGACAGAAACCATTATTTTTTGGTAGAACGGGAATCTGCGCACACTAGCTCGACTTTATTACTGGTAAAAACATGTCTAAGAGTTCTTTGTGAGTTGCGAAATTGTATTAACATAAAATCTCATGCTTTGAATTATTAAATATTAAATTTAGATATCGACGAATGTACTATCGGAGCTGATAATTGCAATGTTAACGCGTACTGTAATAATACACTTGGTTCCTATATATGCGCATGTAAGAAAGACTTCACTGGAGATGGTGTCAATTGTGATGGTAAGGATGAGTAGTTTTTAAAGCACGTTAATTGTCGGATAATCTTAATTACGCCAATAGGTTAATCAGGCTTAATTGGTAATGTAAATATTGCCAGACACAAGCTTTTAGTCAAGCCTACCATGGTGGCGGCTTAAGGGTAATGCACAAAGGTCGCTGCCGGTTACGCTTTGCTTACTGGATAAGTATGTTGTCTCAGTAACATAGATTGAATGTTTAGTTTATATCTTGCATGCCGGTGAATTTAAAGTTGGACATCGACATGTTCAGCACCTCCCTGGCCTACCAATCTCTGGAGGGTGGATACTGCAGTCCTTTAATAATTGAAATGACCACAGAACCATCACCATGGTTGCGTAGAGTTTGTAATTCAGAAGAAACGATATTTTCAGTACAATGTATCGCGTTATATTGCATATATATGTCGACGCTTTGGAGGGCCCTTTCGAGTTTAGATCTGGGTCAAAATGGGCCAAGGACCCTCGTCCGTCTCTCAGCAAACTGAAATCACTGAAGGAATCGAGTAAACAATACTTGTTTCATTTTCCACATTGGGCGATGAGAAAGGTATAATGGTTTGCAAAGATTTTTTTGACAAAAACAACCCGAGAACAAATTGTGTCAAGTAAATTGTAAAAATAACCAATTTAAAGAACCTGATGTGGAAATTTCGATGACGATAAGATTAAGACGAGCAAGAACCAGTGGCGCAGTGCTCATTAGGTAGCGTTAGTTCAAAAACTAAGGGCTCACGACAGTTAGGGGGCCCCATCAGCCACGGTCTATCGCCCTGAAAATTAGAAAACGTAAACAATGCAGGTTAAGGATCATTGGGAAAATACAAAATTAATAAAGTTAAATAATAAAGCCTCCATGCACGACGAGGTAGCTGAATTTTTATCCCATCTCAAATAGAACAAAAGTCATTCTTAAAAGTTGTTACATGTGTTGGAGGCTGTTATTGTCTTTGTTATAGATACAGAATTTTCCAGAACATTTTATAAGTATTCGGCAATATAAATATTCGATCAACAGGGCCCCCCGCACCAAATATGCCGAAGGGCCCACTCTTCGTCCGTTACGCCACTGACGAGAACAAAAACTAATTTTTTGAAATGCTTCTCTTTAACTTTTTGGAGTTTTAATTCCAGGACCTACTACACGCAATCCAGTAATTCCCTCAGGAAATCCAGTGACTTCTTCAGGAAATCCAGTCACTCCTTCAGAAGATTCAGTAACACCTTCAGGAAATCCAGTAACTCCTTCAGGAAATCCAGTCACTCCTTCAAGAAATCCAGTGACACCTTCAGAAGATCCAGTAACTCCTTCAGGAAATCCAGTAACTCCTTCAGGAAATCCAGTCACTCCTTCAGAAGATCCAGTAACTCCTTCAGGAAATCCAGTCACTCCTTCAGGAAATCCAGTAACTCCTTCAGGAAATCCAGTCACTCCTTCAGGAAATCCAGTGACACCTTCAGAAGATCCAGTAACTCCTTCAGGAAATCCAGTAACTCCTTCGGGAAGTTCTGTCACTCCTTCAGGAAATCCAGTCACTCCTTCAGGAAATCCTGTAACGTTCACACCCTCAGCAACTCCAGTGACTGAAGGGCCATGTTTTACTTACCCTAGTCCATGTCATGCGGAAGCCACTTGTAACAATATTTCGGGAAGTATTATTTGTACGTGTAAATCTGGATACACTGGTAATGGAACTCTCTGCACTGGTACGTAAACCATTTGTGACAAACATCTAAGGCTGCTGCCTGGATTGAGCTTTAAATCTTCCAGAATTACTTTACCATCTGTTTCACACTGTATTTTAATATATAAGCAGGATATAATAGACAATTTCGTTGACTAATGCGTGTGCTGTGACGCAATAATATACCGTGATCTGTCATGTGACTTGGTCCTTCAAGAATATAAACAAAACTATAGCTTTTTTTAAATACAAAATTTATCAGAAGTCCAGAAAGAATAGAACGAAGGAACGTAGCAATTTTATCTGTAGGTCTACGTGTAAAAACAGTAAAATTAACCGGCCTGGCATTCGTTCCCAAAACAATTTGAAAAAGATATCATAATAGCTGAAAAACATAGAAAATGGCAACAAAAACTGAACATAAGGGATTTAGAAAGTGCCTTCACTGCTCCTGATAAAAACTGCTAGACATATTTTCGGCAGAA